AAAAAAAAAAAAACGAAAATTACTGAGTCAAAGAGAAAAATGAATAAATAATAATGACAACAGAATTTGATGGACTTTTGGTTTACTGAGAATCAGAACATAAACAAAAGAGAAAAGAGAGATTCAGAATCCTCATATGAAGAAATAATAGCCAAGTGTACCATATGTGGAGAAAGTATAATGGATTAACAAAATCAAGAGGTTCAATCAACCCTAACTAGTATGAACTCAAAGATACCATCACAGAGCACGTAGTGGGTCCTAGCTGCAGTGTGCTTGTGGGGTGCCAGCCAAATATGGGAAGACCATGGCATGCTCCAGACTTCCACACTTCCACAAGCAATCTTTCTGGCTGGGTAAGGCCACTGCAGCCCTCCCTACGGCTTTACTTAGAAGCTGGGGGAAAGACCTTCAACCCCTGTTAAAACAGACATCTTGGGCCAGGAGCAGTGGCTCACGTCTGTAATCCCAGCACTTGTGAGGCTGAGGCGGATGGACTGCCTGAGCTCAGAGGTTCAAGACCAGCCTGAGTAAGAGCAAGACCCCATCTCAAAAACAGCCAGGCGTTGTGGCAGGCACCTGTAATCCCAGCTACTTGGGAGGCTGAGGAAAGAGAATTGCTAAGGCCAGGAGTTTGAGGTTTCTGTGAGCTGTGACACCATAGCACTCTACTGAGGGTGACAAAGTGAGACTCTGTCTCAAAAAAAAAAAAAACGTGACGCCTTACCAGTTTTGTGTAGCCTGAATGTAAGCTCAGCCAACCCAGCCCTACCAGGCTGCATGCTCCATGCTACTGAAAAGAATTAGGACTCACCTGAAGTTCCAGGGTCCCACCTACCACCTGAGCAATCAAATACTTCTGAAGGACTAGAGTCAGTCACAGGGCCCAAAAACAACACTGCAGCTTGTTCCTGCCAACAAGTATCACCTACTGACAAGTCAATTTACACTGCCTTTACAGCATTTACTGGCTCAAATGATACAAAGTATGGGTGAATCTCACTTACAAATACCACTGTCTTAAAGATTAAACTGGGTGTGGTATTATCTAAAGAAAATAAAATGCAAAAATAAGGAGTAAAAGCTGCTCCAGATGAGAAGGTATCAGCAAAAGATCTCCAGATACATGAAAAGTCAGAATGAAAAGTCATCCTCCCCCAAACAGTAACTCCATACCAATGGAAACCAACCAAATGAGAATATTAAAATGATTGACAAAAGAATTTTGAATATGTATTGTAAGGAAGTTCAATGAAATGCAAGAGAAAATAGAAACTCAACACAA